CCGAGCTGCAGTGGGACGAGCTGGAGCTGATCGTGGAGCGGCTGCCTCAGCCCCCGTACGAGCGGAGCCCCACCGGCTGGGCCGGGCCGCTGCTGCTCGGCCTCGTCTCGGGCTTCGTGGGGGCGCTGGGCACCGGGGCGCTGCTCATTCTGCTCACGGTGTGGCTCACGGGCGGCGACGGCCCTGCCAGCCCCAGCCTGCCCGCCTCTCCCAGCGCGCAGGGCCCGTGGGAAAGAAAGCCGCTGCTGGGCTGAGAACACTGGAGCTTGGGGCTGTGGGTGGGCCAGCTCTCCCTCGCCTCCGTGCCTCTAGCTGGGAAATGGGAGCCCACTGCTTTGTTCCTGCGCCTTGGAAATGACCTCCATAGCCATGGGAAAGGATGGCATTGGGGGGGGTGGGTGAGGGAGGGGGCTGCCTCTCAATTCTTTCATTCCTTCTTGGCTTGCATTTAGTCTTCTATTAAGAGCTATCGTTTATTGTACTCTCATTGTGTGCTGGCCTTACGTGGAGCAGTTGCCTGTACTAGTTGATGGGTTCTTAGACCCCACGGACTGGAGGTAGTCTCTCCATTACACATCGAGAGACTGGCCACTAGTTAGTGGTGTGGTCACGTTTTCCTGACCTGAAAGCCAGAGCTGCGGGAGGACGGGTCTGTGCGCCGTAAGGGGGCTTGGGCAGTGACCAGGGCCCAGAGCAAGTCTGGCAGCGTTCGCCCTCAGTGTACTGTGCACAGGGGCCGCCCCCAAAGTGCCCTCCCCACTCCAGCAAGTTCTCCGGGGAACCCCAAACCGTCCCACCTCTTTTTTTTTGGGGGGGGACCCTCATAAAGACTGTGCTCAGACTGTCTGCTGAGTGCAAACCGGAGGGGTGCAGTGGAGGGGGAGTCCTACAGGGCTGGACTGGGCTCCCTGTCCAGGCGTGGTGGCCAGAGGGTCTCTGAGGCAGGTTGGAGCAACGACAGAATGACAGGCCAATCCAAGAGGAGAGTTGAAAACAAGATCGACGTAACCCTTTATTGCAAATTCTAAAGTAAAAAGATGTACAGTACAAAGTAAAATTGAAATTTCAGACTATAAACTTCCAACCCACGTATACATTCTCAATTCTTAAGCATTTCTGCCATTTCCGCATAAACGGAAGAGGGAACAAGTTGAGGGGTGGGGTGAGGGAAGGAGAGAAGGCAAGGAAAAGAAACGAAAAGAAGAAACGGTGTCAAGGATCATCACAAACCCCAGGAGCGAGGGGAAGGAAGGACATCTTCTTGACCTGCGTCGTCCTGGCGATGGGAATGGGGGCGGGGTTGGAGCAGTGCAGTTTAAAATGGCTCTCAGAATAGCAGCATTGACGGTACCAGTTCATCTCCCGCAAGTCCACACGATACTTCGCCCTTCCCTTGCGCCTTTGCCTCCTCTGTATCTCAAAACGCTTTACGAAACATTTTAATTAAAGCCTCACAACACCCCTGTGAGGTAGGTCAGTATTATTACCCCCATTTTACAGATGGGGAAACTGAGGCACAGAGAGGTTAAGTGACTTGCCCAAGGCCACACAGCGAGCCAGCGGCAGAGCTCGGGATGGAACACAGGCGTCCTGTCCCTTTTCTGGAACGCTGGGCCACGCTCCCCTGAACCTATGTACATCTTGACGCGCACACACACCACACGTGCACACCCACCTACCCGCCCCACTGAGCCTCTATGTACAGCAAACAGCAGTGAGGCAGGGCCGGGCGCAAGGTGGGGGGTGGGGGGTAGCCCTCAGGCGGGCTTTCTTAACAGAGGAAATCTTGGTAAAACCTTGGAAAGGGAGTCCAAGCCAGCAGAGCGGCACAGCGCAGGCTCTGGCACCAACCTTGGACTTCTCCGGACCCAGACTTCCTCTTCTCTCCTGATGTCC